CACTCATTATTTTATCTCAAAATTACTTATTAATTTTTCAATTGAGTTAAATTTCTTAATATTAAATAATAAAAATAATTATTATTTGAGTGTATTTTTTGTGGGATAAAAATTCAATTCAATAAATAAAAGGTGCAATTTCTAAATGTAAGAGTGTATTTTTCTTAATAGGAAGTAGCTAAATGAATTGATCCACTTTTTTAGTTTGTTAGATTATGTATATATTCGCTATACCAATGGATATTCGTTGCGATTTTCAGTGGAATGTCTGACGTTGTATTTTTTATTGCAATATAACAATTTTTTTAAAACTTAATTTCATGTAGTAATTTTTTTTATTAATTAAAGTAATTACGGTTATATATTAAAATTATATTAAAAACTATTTTTCAAAATATGAATTATGTATCTTTTCAAAGCTTTGTTATATGAGTTGATTTTTTGGAGATATGAAAGAAGCATTTTGATAGATAAGTGAAAGAAACAAATTCGTGAGGAATAATGGTATGAGAATGTTGAGGTTGATTTTTAGGTGATCTAGAATGTTTTGTTCGTGCATCTATATTTATTTAACTAAATATTAATTATTGATTAAAAATATAAGATATGATGAATATTAATGCATTACTAATTTGTCATTAAAAATAAGTCAAAGTAAGAGTTTTTTAGGTAGAAGTTCATTTGTTAATAAAAATATAAAATAAGATGGATATTGTAGTATTACTAATTTGCCATTAAAAATATGTCTAAGTAAGGGTTTTTTAGGCAGATCATTATTTTTACAAAATCACTCGTCCTTTTATAATAGTATAGATATAGATAGATAGAATGGAAAAAAAAAATCTAAAAAGTATCTAAAATATTATGTGTGTTAGTATTGAATGTGTAAAAAAAATATCTAAAATATTATTTGAGTAAATAATAGGTATTACAATCTAATATCTCACAAGTCTATGTGAGAATATTTACATATATAGTAGATATTGTCTATATGTCTTGTATACCAGTTTTATATTGTTACAATCAACATTGTCGATATGTAATGTATCGCATGTCAAGTAATTTTGATTATATCTCTTTTATCATATTTTGTACCGATCCATCCATTAATTTTTATTTTTTTACCAATTTCACGGAAATATATTATACGAATTTGTGTATATCTCGCAAATGCTAACGCATTTATTATGAAATAAATAATTTGGAGCATTTTTTTAGAAAGAATTATTATTCCTTGCATTGGAATATAATGCACAAAGCTATCTAGAAATTTTGGAAATTTTTATTTTGTTGAAAAATTTTCAAATGATGAAAAACTATAAAGTAAAAATATAATTATTGAAATTAATATGATATAAAATAATAAAATATTAATTTAAAATAGTTGAAAATTAAAATATCATATGTGTATTAATATTATTTTAATTGTTAGGTTTGTAGTAATATTATTTGATATCCATTCACAATCTTATTGGCAAATTTTTTTATTTTCTTCCTAAATCTAATTAAACAAAAAATGAATAATTATTTATCTTTATTATTCATATACTAATTAATTAGGTAATTATTTTTAATCTCGTTAATTTTGTTTTATCTGCCAACAAATACTCAAATTATTCCTTAATCTACCGTGTTGCCCTCGTCATATCACTTTATATTTGTTATTAAGATAAAGATGAATTTTTTTATTTCAATCTTTGGGATTTAAATATTTTTCAAAAAAATTTAAAATACAATTAGGCAAGTTTTTTTTTGAAATTTGAAATTTAAATATAACAAATTTCATGATTTATGGTAGCATTAAATGCGGTCTAATTTTTTTATTACAAAAATGAAAAAAAAACATTCTAAAAATAGAATGTAATTAATATTCTCAGCCTTTTTTCCTTACTATTTTTAGTAAATAGTAATTCTTATTATATATATATAGATATCAATAAAATGGCTTTAGAAAGATGAGTGAAATTAATATAAAAATTAAAGTCGAGACACATAATAATTATCCTTAAGATGAAAATGTCCTGTAAAATACTACTGGTTTACGGAAAACACTTTTGACATACGACGACTTTTCACTTGTTTATAGCGGTGCTACAAATAAATAGCCTTTCGAAGAACAATACTAGTGTTTTGAACTTTAACACTCAATGAAAATATCAAAGAACACAAGTGTTATATGAACTTTGACAAATATAATGCAAGAACTCTTAAATTGCAAGTATTATAAACGATTCATGCAAATTGGTTTTCATAAATGTAGGAAAACACCTCCATGAAGTTTAATATCAAAACACACCTTCTAAAACATGCCTGGACGAGACCGAGCGCATCCAGAAGTCAAAGGACAACTTATCAACACCAGGAGTCGTGATGAGCTTCGCTTTGGACAGCTCAAGAATTTTCATAGCCGCGAGCAGGCTTCAGGACTGTCAGGGGACGCGAAGGAGCCAACTGCAAGCCCATGCGCCACGTGCCTGTATGTTCATCAGGACTCCAAATCATGCTCCTACTCATTCCCAACAAACTTTATTAGAGTTATATCATGCATGATTGTAAATTGTTTGACTTGTCCAAAAAATCGTGAAAACTCATAGCAAATCTAACAATATTTGAGACTTTTGAGTTAAGTAAACTCAATTGTTTCAAATCTATATTTTACTGTATAAACAACTTACAATTAATTTCTTATTAAATGTAAGTATTCAATTTGTGGTTTTAAGTGACATTTTAAGACTTTTTAAGATTTGAGATTTTTTAAGGTGGGTGTATTCAATTAGGATTTCTAAAGATTTTTTACAACTTCAGAAATCCTGGTGTGTTTAATTTAGATTTGGTAAGACTTTTTAAGACTTTTAAAAGTCTTGGTGTATTCAATTGGAATTTAAAAAGTCTTATAAAAGTCTGAGGTATTTAACTTATTTGAGATTAAGATTTGTAAAGTCTTTTAAGTTTTGGTGGGATTTGTAAAAAGAAAAAATCTTATATGAAATCCACTTCAAATCTCACCTCCAGACTTAAGATTTCACAGAATTCCTCCAAAATCTGGAAAATCTTAAAAAGTGTCAAAAATGTCACTTGAAATCCCAATCGAATACACCTCTATAAGATTTTCAGATTTTAAAAGAATTCTATGAAATCTTAAATTTGAATGTGAAATTTGAAATGAGATTTCATATAAGAATTTTTATTTAGAGATAATTCCTCCTTGTCTACATATCAAAATAATTTATCATTGTCCATGGTACTAATATTGATATGGACACGACGCCCAAAATGGTATAAAAAACAATGGATTACCACTTGTTGATGCTAAACATTTTGATTTTGTGGTCATGCGCCCACTGTTGCACCTCTTTCAAGACAACTCGATATTTTTAGAACTTAATTTATAGAAATAAGATTAAAATGTGTTTAATATTGAATAATAAAAATTAATAAATGCTTAAATATTGCTTATTAATGAAGTGGCTAATTAACACTCATAAATTACTAAAATTTTAAGAATAGTATGGGGAGAGATGAGAAGATGGCAAATTGTATTTAAAAAAAAAAAGTGTTAAAATGGGTTATTAAAAAAAATAAATGTTAAAATNATATATATATATATATATATATATATATATATATATATATATATAATCACCATGACCCGTCGGTTCTATATTGATACGAATGATTGAATTAATCTATATATGTCGTTCAAACGCCAACGAACCCCAAGATCCACTGAAGAAATTTAAAAATTCGACCGTTGGTTGCCTGCTGGCCTGACCTAAAATCGATTCCCAATTTCAAATTAAAGTTTCAAATAGAATTCGAATTACAAGTGGGTTGATGAAATTTTTATATGGGCTCAGGATCGGCCAGCCCAAAACACTATACCGATCCCAATATGGACTTACAACTCGTTATCAATGGGCCGAAATTGGCGGGTCCGCAGGCCAATCCAACCCAGTGCCCATGGCTGCGTATGATACATATTTTCTCTGCTTGTTCCTTTTTGAATTTAGTCGTTCTTTGAAATTGCTCTAGTTAGAATTTAGTTGTGGTTAGATTTTATTAGTTAATTCATTCTAGCCTAAATATTCATTAGTACTAGCCTAATTAAATAACATTAAATTGTAACAATTGCAGTTATTAAGTCGCGTAGCAACCAATTCCTATGAAATGCGACATCTTGCTCGTCGTCATCTATCTCCCGCAGCAAATTGCCTTGTCTGATTTTTTTCTTAGCGTGCCTAGTTTGTGCATGGCAAAAGTATACACCAAAATTTTTACTTTTTATACCCAATATGCGTGAAAATTAATGACAAAATTGCATTTTGTGCCCTGTAACTATGCCTGTGTGGCAAATGTAGACAACTTCTTTTTGGTTTGGCAAAAGTGTCTTGAAACTTGTTAAAACCCGAAATTTATGCCCAATTTACCTACAAGTTACCGGATTTGATCGAATTTTTCGTGTGGCAAAACAGGACATTAACTTGTTAAAATTCAAAATTTGTGCCCAAATTGGGCATGATTTCAGTTTTTAACAAGTTTCAGGGCATTTTTGCCAAACCGAAAAGAAGTTGTCCATATTTGCTACACATTCCTAGTTACAGGGCATACAATGCGATTTTTCCGAAAATTAATTGTACAAGCATATCCATATCATAGTTGAGACTTGAGAGCAATTCAAAATGTTGTAATAAATATATTCCATTCATCATTATGATGGCTAACCCAACCTCTCGAAAATATATATGTGCAACGCATGAATGTAATATCAAACGAAAATATGATTAGTTCAAACACTATTCAACATGCCGTAATTCCTCATCACAAGCATCGTATTAAATTTATACCATCATTGAGTACTCTGTAAATTTTACTGTTTCTGAAGAAAACAGACTAAACAAAGGGATGCAAGAAAAGACGTACAAAGATAACGGAAGAAGCAAAAATTTCAGGGCTTTTAAGTCATTTCCTCTCAGCACATGCATGCATAGATCATCTGAAAATTAGGTGGTCGTTTTTCCCACAAGAAATTGGGAGTTGTCAAGGGACGATGCATGAGAATGAGATGGCGTGTAGCAAGATTTCACGCCCAACAAATTCGTTGGTAACACCTTTCTGAAACTCCTTTTCTTCTTTCCTTTTTTCACTTTCTTCTCCACAGATGACTCCTGTAGCACCAATAAATTTTTTTAGTGCTTATATGATTTATTATTTTCTTGTAATTTCAATTGCAACAAAATTTTAAATTACAGGATTCAAAATTACAATAAAATTTTAAATTACACGATTTGAATTACTAATAAGAAATCAATCCTAAAGATATAAATTGGGAATTTGTTGCAATTTCATTCCTCCAATGACTAAAATTGCTACAAAATATTAGATTACAAGACCAAAAGGCGAAATATTAGAATCTTGGGACTAAAATTGGTATGACGTTAAACCACCAGGACTAAAATGCAATTTAACCTTAACCAAAACTACATTTGGTTGAGAATTTCATCAATTGTACAGAAGCTCTTAATTCTTTCTCCTAGCTATTATGTTCATAGATTTTAATTTCTTGGTTCTCTTTCATTCTCTTCGAACACAAGCCATAAACATTGCTTACCTTTGACGACGTTACCTCTTCTCTTGAGACCATCTTTTTCTTGGAGACATCATTCTTACCTGGAATTATTCAAAAGTATCTTAAATTAACAATC